CAGGTAAGATCAATGAAAATATTTGATTCAGATAGCTTTACTTCTCATGTATAACATTAGTTCCTACATGGAAATATATGTTTTATGCAAAACTATATATATACATTAGCAGTGATTAGTTTGATGTAATTTGATGCTGTATGTACACTGTATCAGAGTTCTTTGAAAAACAAAATAAATCCCTGAATTGAAACATTAAATAGTGAAAAGAGTTTAACTAAAAAATTCCTGTTTGCACCAATCAAATTAGTTCCTCATTGCCTTGATTCTTCAGATAAAACAACTCCCCACATCAGGATTAAATGAGGCTTAAGATATACAATTTTAGGAAATTGTTAGTACCTTCATGCCCTCACTAATGGTTGAGAATAGGTATCATTTTGCCTTAGAATCTCCCAGACTTCAAAGAAACCATAGAGTTCCGTAGCAAAAATGTGTTATGGCCATGTCAGTGCAGCCCTATGAGACTGTTCGGATCTTTATTCTATCAGGGCTTGGGGAGTTCTGCTGCCTGTAATCAGGCTAGACTTCCCTGCATAGCTGACCTTCTCTCTAATAACAGCCTTTGACTTTGCCTGGCACAGTGAGTTTCTCTGGGCATGAGCTGTCATTCTCCTTGCTGGATGGTGAAACATGCTAAAGGAGTGCCAAGAGGCCTCACAGGCAGAATGCTTAACCCATTAGCCTCATGTGAATGCAGTTAATAGCTGAGGCCAAGTCTGTGATCTCTACCTCAGGAACACTGCCTAAATCATTGAAATCTGCATGGAGTGGATGAATTTTGATCCCATTATGAACTTCATTATATTGGATGATTCAAAGTTTAATGACTGGATATTGTAATACTACTGGTACGACAGGAAATTCTAATATTAAAAGGATAATATTGCTCTTAAAACAAATACAGCAATTACCATTATGAGATTCAGATAAGTTTTGGGATGTGAATAAATAATAACAGCCTGAGTATATAGACTACTAGATATGGATTTTAGAGCTTCAATCCTTATTTGGAAAATAATCTAAAGAAGATTTGAACCTTATATTAGACTTGATGAAATTCCCTCTGAAACTGGCTTCTGTTTTATTCAAAGCAAGGTTACTAGAAAATAGAGATAAGAAATGTAAGTGCAACTTTTCCTACTTTAATCCTCTCCCTCTCCCTCTTCCTCT